CATATCTCTAGTGAAAAACCTGTCTCCTCAGCTGAACAACACTGCAAGTAAGGGAAAAATGGATATATTGTTCATTTTATATATTCTTTTGTGTGTGTGTGTGTGTGATTTGTCTACAGCTCATATTAGACTGGTTGTAAAACCATGTGTAATTGCATAGCATGAATAGACCAGATAGGCTTAGATGGCTTTCCATGCGTTGTTTTTATTCCTGCACATATATGGGCTTTAAAAACAGTAATGGCAGTTTAAGGGAAGTTGTTGTCTTGAGTCTCTCTTGTGGATATGGATTTTTGAAAGACCATCATTATATTTCTGAGAAGGCCTTTTCTTTTCCTGGGCCATCAGTAGTAACTAGAGGATAAAAACCAAAACAGGCTGCAATTCAGCCTGCCCCTGTGAGCTTCAGCAAGGCTCCAGGAGCTTCTCTTGAACTCAAGAGTGGTTCATGCTCCTGTCCCCTGGTATCAGATCGTTACCTGCATTTTACTCTAGTCCACTCATATTTCAATGATCCGAAGCAATGGCTCTTGTTTCCCCCTTTCAGGGACTCTATTCCTTGGTCCGACACTCTTCTCAGAAAGTTTAGCCTTTTATATAGATGCCTTATTTCCCGCTGCCTTCTCGTTTCTCTTCACTGTTTACTGTTGCTTCGTCTCTGTGTCACGTGTGTTTACCACTGAGGACTGGTCATGAGCTCTCCCTGAGAAGGGCAGGATTACTAAGGCAAGAAATCAGCATCAAGGCAGTTCAAGATGATGGGTAAGTTCAGCTCCAGAATCAGACACCTAAACAAAGATGCCTTCAATGGAGGTGTCTCCGTGTGATGGAAGTGTCCAAGCTTCCCTTGTGTTCAGTGAAGATGTAGGCAATGCAGCCACAGAGTCTAAACAACAAACTTCATACAACTCTGGCCCCACTAGCTGTAATGCTTCAGGAAAGAATTTGGTTGACTTTTGCCTGGTGTCATCTGAGATGCCCTCAGTACCCTGCCTCACTCTAGCTCCCAGCTCAAAAATGTTCTTGTCTTCTGTATGCAAGTTTGTCACATCTGCCAGCTCCACATGGAAGTCTGGAATATCCTAGAGCATCTCAAATGTTGCTGGATTCTCATCTGTGATGGTTTCACTAAGCCTTAATTTTCCATTGAGTAAAGTAAGAGACATCACTCACCCATGGACACCCTGAGGTGAGTCTCTACATTAGGAGCTGAATCTTGTCTGAAATACAAGGTGTGCTGTGATGTGAGAGAGACCTACTCCCTGCTTTAGCGCGGATTTTATATGAGACCTTGGATAAATCCTTCAAATCTTATTGCCTCTTCTGTTAAATGGGGACGTTGTAAAGCTCTCCTCACCGTACTGAATGTAGGATAGGAGATGTCTCACCGTAAGGACTTCAGGGCACATTACTAAAGGGATCTGGGGGACTAATTCTTGTGATGTGTCATGCAAGACACATGGTCTTGATTCCTTAATGGTGCTGACTAGGGCCTGTGAGTCACTCATTGCTTCTAGCAGGTGATAGGAGAAGTTCAGGGGCTATTGTACGGCCTGGTGCAGAGAGTTGGAAGATAACCCCAGCCCATGCCAGTCTGACTTGTTACAGGCAGGTGGGATACAGATCCCACAGATGCAGTCATAGGACTTCCAGCCCCATGGTAGCTGATGTCCTCCTGGCTTGAGAATGCCCACAGAGATGCATGAGGACTATTTCCACTCCCAAGACTAAGCACAGAGTAGGAGGAGTGGGAGTGGGTTTTTCAAAATTACTTCAGTTTTAAACCAACCCCAACCCTTTGATAAACAAACCTTGGAATGGAGTTGAAACCCACTCATGCTAGATGAAGGTGCGTCAGTTACCATGTGCAAAAGTCAAAAGCAAAACAAAAAAATACTTCGCATATGATCCATCTTGCTGGGACTTTTCATTCTAGTTATAGTCGCTTAAAAATAAGGCCTGGAGAAGTGGAAAAGAGAAGTTTATCCCACGGTCTGTGAGAATGGTACATTGTATGAAGATGTCACAGGCTAGATGTAACAGGGAAAGATGGGAATGAGAAACTCATGGCCAAGATGACAAAAGCCAAGGCGTGCTTTATCATTTAGGTCTGTATGAAATAGCCAGGAAATAATTTCTGTGGCAATATAGTAAGAATTACTGCAGAAATCTTCATATTGCTCTGTGGTTCCTGTTGACGTCCACCTACTGATCACGCCCACCTTACACCCAGGTCTAGATCCTGCTCATCACTAGGATGTCGAAATTCACATTTGGCACAGAGTTGTGAATTTTTGAATTACAGGAATATGTCAAAATGTCTAGAGGTATTTCATTCCTCCCCTCAGATCTTAGTGCAGATGAGGAGGCAACGAACTGTTCCATAATGGTAGGACTCATCCCGCCTGACTGCCGGTGTTCGCAAGTCCCCACACTCCCCTGACGAGGGATGGAGACAGACACTTTGGGAGCATGAGTCAACCCCCCTTGTCCCACACATGGATCTTAGGACAGAGTGAATCACTTTCTGGGGGTGTCTGCCTCTCTGTGTTGACTCGAGGAGACGTTCAGATGACTATCAGCAGGCATGGTACCGTGCAATATGAGTGACTCAACGCGCATACTCAGCCAGCTCTGTGCAATTTACAGGGAAGAGTGTGATTAGTGTAGGTTTCTGCACTGAAAACGTTACAGTGGGAAAAGCCTTTATGTGTATTCTGGGTTTTTGTTTCTGGTATATTTTATTCCTCTCTCTATTCTCAAATAAATGAACCCAACAGAAACATTTTTAACTCTGTCCCTTGTGGGTTGGCGCTGCTTGAGTTTCAGTATGCAGGTACATCTGATGCCGTACAAGTTTCTAGTATAACGGCACTAAAATAAGACAATACGTAACTTTTTTTTTTTCCCTGCTAAACATGGAAAGTTTTTCAACTGAATAGCTAGAAAATACGACAACAAGCAGTACTTACAGACTTAACTTACAAATCACATGGCATTGCTCAGCCTTCAAAACTTTTAATTATGTCTACCAAAAATGTAACACATCTGGTAGGTTAAAAATAAATCTAGTCTGTATCTTTTTGGGGCTGAGGCTATTCACTTTCAGAAGTTTCCATCCATTAGAGTGACCATGTCCTTCATGCAAGTGTTTCTTATCAACAACTGAGGACTTAGAATTTGGGTAAAATCATGGTTTTCTTAAAGACGGTGGCCTGAAGCTTTGCTAAGGCTACTGGTTTGTGATTTGCGGTTTTCTTTTAAATTCAGTCTGAAATGCTAATACATGTGTGAATCCAAAGCCAAGGTATTCAGAGAGAGATTTGAGAGCCAGTGGAAAGACATCGTTTTGGTGGACCTACAGGTTGGGATAATTTCAGTGAGGGGCAGAGATGAAGGTCTGCCATCCTTCCTGGACACATTCTCCATCACCTTTCCTCCAGACAGAGCTAGGGTGGAAAATCAAACCTCACCAAACTGTGGGTTAGGCTCCTCAAAGGGAAGAAGACAAAGTCTCTAGAGTGAGATCTGAAGAGCCAGTGGATCTTCCTCCTGTCCCCATGGGAGCCAGGTCCTTGTGGGCAGAGGGAAAAGTGAGAAGAAAACAGGAGAAGAAAAAATGTAGGGTTTTCAGACATTTTAGCTTTTTAACCCTGAACAGCTGCAGTGAGCTGCTGCTGGGGTTTTCTTAAAGTAGTAAAAGGAAAAAAAAAAAAGACCGGGACCTATTTTCCAGTACATTACACATCAAAGATGGAGGAGTGTTTGTTGTTGGGTTATTTTTGCTTGAAACCATTAGCATTTTTCCTTTAGATTTCATAAGTGATGGTCCCAGAGAAATCTTTGGCCAAGGCCCAATCAAAGTCTAGGTACCAAATTATTTTGCTTCCCATCATGGATCTTAGTCCATCGTCTGTTCCCTCACCTGCAGAACAGTTGTCCAGTGAGCAGCAGTGGGAGCAAAGGAATGAGATGCCAGTGGCCTTTTCTTTTCCCAGGAATCTGTCAATTAATTTTTATTACAATGCTTTGCTCAATGAGTTGCTCGATTTACCCTTGCGATAATCAATGGTATTGTATTTCCAAAAGCTTCTGAAGTGTGATGGGGACTATTTCATCTGTTGGAGCAAATAAGTAGTTTAAGTATTGGTTGTAATGGGGAATAAGATCAAGGCCCTTTAGAATATCATGGGGTGTCTGCCCCATGTCAGGGTGCAGGGGGATGAGTTGGAAAATGAGGGTGACCCCCAGGGCAGGCAATGCCCTCAGTGATGGGAATGGTGCCACAGGGTCTGAGTGCACTGGGCAGAGCTGCGTGCTGGTAATGGGTCCCTCCGCATTTCTAGACAAGGCAAGGGGATGGAACAGATCCAAGGTCCCTCCATGGGGTCCCAGCAGGAGCAGAATGAGACAAGGCTGGAAACAGGGCTGGAGACATGACTGTGACTTGGATCTGTGATCCATCCTGGAGACAAGACTGGAGATAAGCTACCTCCTAATACAGGTCTTCAATCCATCTTGGAAACAGAGCAAGGGAACTGCTGGAGGGATCAGATTCTTTGTTTTGGGAAGATTTGGAGGGTATTGATGAGTCTTGATGTTCCCTGTGTTTATATATTCATCTGCAAGGGACCACGGGTGACAAAAATACTGACCAATGGCCTATTTTTCCCGAAGGTGAATACAAACAGAGATTCTGGATTAAGGCAGAATCAAGTACAAGTCAATGTGAATGTTGTTTGTATGAAAATATTTGAGAGTTAAAAAGATCCATGCAGTTACAAGGAATATAGATGTCCTGCTCTTGCAATGGTGCACTCCAAGATAGGCCCCTTTCTACAGAAAGTAACATTCATACTTGGGCTGCAGCATTTAGATGGGATCTGGATTTTGAATTCTGAAATGTGGATCTAATCAGGATGAGGACAGAGGCTCTTCCCTGTAAGAAGAGAAGAGCTGGGGTGGGGTAGCAGAGCCAACATCTCAGGAATATAAGCGCAATGTGCTGTGTCAGAGAACTCCTGAACACAGCATCATTTCCAATTCCCACGCTGATATTTCTGTATTTCTCTCCTCTAGACTGTAAGGACAACCTGATGCGAGTTGAACCTTTGGGCTACTGAGCCTGCCCCAGATGCAATAATTTAGTGAGCAGATGATGTTTTCAACCAAACCTCCTGTCTAACTCAGTGGATCTGTGTGTCTTCCGGCAGGTGTGTCCTCTGTGGCCTCCCTGATGTCCCTGGCTTGGGTGCTAGCCTCCTATCACAAGCTTCTTCGGGACTCTAGGGACGACAAGAAGAGTATGAGCTACAGAGGGGCCCTCATCCATGTCTTCTGGCGCTTCTTCACCATCTCATCCCGAGTTCTTTCTTTTGCTCTCTTTGCTTCCATCTTCCAGCTCTACTTTGGGATCTTTGTAGTGGTCCATTGGTGTGCCATGGCTTTCTGGATCATCCATGGTGGGACAGATTTCTGCATGTCTAAGTGGGAGGAGATCCTCTTCAACATGGTGGTAGGGATTGTGTACATTTTCTGCTGGTTTAATGTCAAGGAAGGGCGGACTCGATACAGAATGTTTGCGTATTACACGGTAGTCCTGACGGAGAACGCTGCCTTGACGCTCCTTTGGTATTTTTACAGAGATCCTGACACTACTGACTCATATGCCGTGCCAGCACTGTGTTGTGTCTTTCTTAGCTTTGCTGCTGGGATAGCTTTGATGCTGTTATATTATGGTGTGCTGCATCCCATGGGGCCAAGAGCTAAGATCTTTGCCAGCTCCTGTTGCGCCGAGCTGCTCTGGGGCATTCCTTTGCCCCCCGATGTTGAGCCCATGGCACCCCAAACCCCTGGGTACCGGGGGGCCCAGGCTACGCCCACCAGAGCGGTCACGGAGCAACAGGAGGAACTCACAGCTGACACTTGCTTGCCCGTTTTCCAGGTGAGAGCAATGGTACCATCTACTCCATCTGGGCGACCCTATCCCCCTGAGGGGCCTCTCATTAAGATTGACATCCCAAGAAAAAGATATCCTGCATGGGATGCTCATTTTGTAGACAGGAGGTTAAGAAGAACTATCAACATCCTCCAGTATGTCACCCCCACAGCTGTAGGTATTAGGTATAGAGATGGACCTCTCTTATATGAGTTGCTACAATATGAATCTTCACTTTAAAAGCTCCTTAAAGCAAAAGTAAAAGAGGGGACCTTATTTTTGTTTACGGTAAACACAGATCATGAAACAAACACAAACCTTCAGATAAGCTTTCTTTCTGGTTGCTGTATGTATAAAAAAAAAAAGATATTCTCTATGTTTTGTAAGTAAAAACAAAAAGAAAAACTTTTCTTTTGTTTTTTACACACAAGAAACAGTATTTCAACTTCCACACCTAGGATTCACAGGTGGAGAAGGAGGCATCTCCACATCAGTTTTATACCGTACACCAAGTGTAGAACATTATTTATGGGATTGGTGCTGATTGAAAAATAAAAAAAAAACAAACAAACAAACCTACAACTGCCTTATGCCCTTAGGTGCTGAGTTTCATTAAGTACTGTCACCTTTCTCATGCAAAACTCTTTGATGATTACATGCCAGGAAAAAAACAACCAACTGAAATACAAACCTTAAAATTAAAAAAAAAAAAAAAAAAAAGAAAAGAAAAAAATGAGCAACAACAACGAAAAGAGAGAAATGTATGAAAAAAAAATCTTGTCGCTCTGATTGGATTTAGCAGAAAAAAACCCAAATGTCTAAAGATGAGAAAGCAAAGCCAAGACACCCCCAATGGAGTTTGATTGTTCCAACAGCTGAAAGACAAAATCAGGTCTGTAACTCGATTTGGCAATGCGTTTACAACGCTGTTTGGCCAAGCCTGCGAGCCTTGACCGAGTCGTGTTCTAAACGCCACCCCACCACGGAACCGTTGTCCCCGTGTAAACGGGCCATGCGCAGTGGTCGGTTTGCACCAGATTAACGTGGTAATACAGTATCTGATCTTGTTTCAGACAATTGCACGTGCTAAAGCACCACTGACTGCAGTGGAGTAAACAACAACCGTCTGAGCCCAGAATAAGGCCTGCCACCTTGATTTCTGGAAAATAAAAAATCTGCAAACGTTGAAATTCTATACCAAAACCATTCTACTAAAGCACGACTACACATATCTAATAACTATTTCAGTAATAATAAAACTCAGCATAGTAGCAAAAAGCGAGTCAATTTAAAGGCACAATACTTGATCAGTGACTGGCAAAATAATTTGACCTACTGTATCATTTTAAGGCTGTGAAAGGCATACATGTATTATTTGTAATCTTGTGTAAGACCTGTCATGTCTCATTCAGTGCGAGCCTTAAAGTGATTGTAAAGCATCCTTCGTTCCATTTTGGGATTTTTGGGTTTTGATTTTGGTTTTGTTTTGCTTCGTTTTGTTTTAAGGAAAACAAAACACAAAAATCGGGATAAAAAAAACCCACAACACACCAAACAACAACAAAACAACCAACAAACTTCTTCAAACGGTAATAACCTGTAAACTGACTCACATCTTGAGATGATTTGGTGCTTTGTATTTTTGTTGATGTTGTTGTTGTGATTTACCTGAGAATTCTTCGACTTGGTCCATGTGGGGAACTGCTGATAAAAACTGTCTCGTGTCACCCTCTACTGTAAGTACATGGCGAGAAACAACTCCAGAGGAAATCCAAGAGCGTAGTGAGAGCATCGTGGTTTAGCTTAGCCTTCTCACCGCAAGGAGATGCTGCCACCTCCGATGATGGCAAAGCCTAAACGGTCACCTGCCGAGCGTTGTGTGGTTGTCTTGACATTTCTGAATGACCCGCTCGGTGTCTGAACATTCACATCTCTCGAATTCTGTTTCTGTGCTGGAATCTCTTGTTTTGAGTTAAATCACGGGTTCGTGTCTGTCCAACACCCTTTTCCTTTTCGAGAGTATTGCTCCTTTAAAGGAATATTCCCGTTTCAGGGCATCTTTTCAATCCCACCATCCCTCTACTTGGGAGGGGAAAAAATACCAACAACAACATGAGATATTTTTAAGTGAATGCTGTAGTATTTTCTGTGTGCAATTGCAATTTTTTATTCCAGAAATACTGTAACTGTCTAGGGTGCAAAACTCTCATGCTGATCTATTCTGAAAAGAAGATCAGCATGGGGGGGATATTTTTTAATTATGATTATGATGTTTTTTTTTAATTTGAGGAATCAGTTGTTTTTTTAATTATAATAGTCTTTAAAGAAACTAGTACCAATTTTATATAACAGTTTAAAAGAAGCTGAATGCTTTCTTCGCCTGAATATACCTGAAGAGAAACATTTTTTTCAATCAGTGATCCTTTGCAGTGTTCTGAGAAAATGTTGGGGTTTCTTCAGTTGTTTCATTTTGTTTTGTAAAGAAAACTTTTAACTAGTGTCTGTCCCTTTTAAGGAGGGCAGGACTCATTCACGCCAAACTCTAGACACACGGCAAAGTTTATAAGAAGCCAAATTGTCACTGGTACTGTAATTCCCAGTCAAACTCCATTTCAGGCAAATGCTTCTGGGCTCTGATTGCAACCAATATGATGGTCACATTTTCACGCAAAGGGAGGGATTTTGTCTTGTCATTCCCTATCTAAATTCCCAGTCCTTTGTTTACGGTGCACACAAATATATATATATAAACACACATACATATTTGTGAAAAGCTTTAATTTCCCTTCTCTGTTGCATGCATCCCATAACCAATCCCTTCCCAAGTGTCCTACTAACATTTCACCCTGTTTCTTCCCTCATCTGTATGCTGTTTCCATAAAAAGAGGTAATTTGTGAAGTGAACTTGCTGCCCCCAGCTACTGAGTCGTAAAAACACAAGAGATGCCCATCCTTTAGCAACAGGCCTGCACTTCTCCTCCCAGGACTTTATTTTTACTTCCTTTTAATAGTAGTATAGATTTACTCTGATCCAGTTCCTTGAGACTCACACCCCATGAAAAGACTCTCCTTGGTCCTTCCTTGAAGAGCTCTCCTCTACACATCTGCATTTCATTGGCATAAGCATGAGAAAGGAATGGATGACAAACAACCCTTCTGTTCTTTGGGGATTTTTCCTCCAGGAAATAGCATCCTCATTTCCAAAAGCACCAAGAGAAGTTCCCCTTCCCTGAATCTGTCAACCTTGAGGTCTGGTTTGGTGATGTGACCCCACTGAACAGCCAGACCCTGCCGCTTCTCACCAGGACAGTGAAGTCAGTCAACAAGCCAAGGCACGCTCATCAGGAGTTGAGGAGAAGACTCTCCAGTGTTGCCTCTCATGAGCATCTGCAGCCTGCCTTCCCTCAGGAATGGGACCGTTGCTCCAGACCGCCACACCAACAGCTGTCTTCTCCATCCTGTTACGGGAGTGGAGGGGCAAAACACTCTAGAAGTGACCTTACCTCTTGATACAGTGCTAATTTCTCACAGCCAAACCAGCTTGACTAAGGGCTTGACACACCCCTGATCCAAAGTCCTCCTTCTTCATGGCTCGTAGTATGGATAACAATGCAAGCAGGTGCCTCCACTGCGTATTAAGACTGTCTCATTATGCTTAGTTGCATAAACTTTCTGCCTCTGCTATTAGTCCTTTCTTTGAATGGTATCCACTGACATCTTGACTTAGCAAGAGATTTCCAGTGACAGCCTGTGTCAACCCTGAAGAACTATTTCTTTTTGAAGGACTTCATTACAGCCTTAACGTAAAGCACGTGCTTTACCACTACACCCAACAAGTTCATGGTGGACAGTTTGGTGTGGTGACCGTTTTTTCTTGGAATTATCTGTGATCTTGTTGCCAAACAGCGCCTTTTGCCAAGCCAAAAGCTCGGGGAGGAAAATTACCCCCAGCTCTTTATTGGTACTAATCCCAGTGCTCGTCTACTGGTTTGTTTTTTTTTTTTTCCCCAGGGTCTGTTTGATTTTTGGTGTGTACTTTGGCAAGATGGTCAGTGACTTGTTTTGGTTTCACTTGATTTTTAACTTCTCAGCTTCTCCTTGGTAGCTTAGTTATACCATGCCCCACCTTCTTGCCAGAAGATACTGCATGAGAGGTTTTTCAAACCATCACAGAGAAGGTTGAATGCATATTTATTCACATCACAAGATCAGTGGCTAACTTCTGTGGCATGTTTGTGCTGCTGGATTAACTCTGGGATCATCTAAACCAGCCAACTGTGCCATGCCAGGGCAAAGTCAGGGCACGAAGGCTCCACCATCCCCACTGTTTTATTGTTCAGACCTTCCCTGGCATGGTTTTGACCCACTCCAATGAGTCTTGTGCTCAGGCACAGCTTGCACAGGCGTTGATGCTGGCCAGAGACCATCCTCAATCAGCAGTTTGGATGCAGCTGCTCTGTATCAGGAGTGAAAGAGTTTAGTAGTGTGGATGTGCTCAGCAGTTGTCGGTCAGCTTCATGGCCAGAATGGATCCTAGAGGTGCTTAATTTACTAATAAAGATGTAACCACAGACCAGGATTCAGAACGTGGTGGAGTACATCAACTCTGATCTGGCGTTTTCCTATTTTCTGCCCGATTCAATGGACAAAAGTATTTTTCAGTTCACTTGCTGTTCTTTTTGCTGAGGTTATTTTGCAAATGGCGTCACTTTTCTCGTGCTGATGTCAACCCATCCATCCTTCCACCCGTGTCAGATGGCTGGCACCCTTAGTGTGAGAGCGTTATACATCTGTAGGCAGCTAATTTGGAGATGGGAATGATTCAGACCAGACCAAATCAACAATGAGAATACAGGAATTACAGGGTCCCTGCCCATGCCCTTGTCATGCTTTACCACCCACACAAGGCATTTTTCATCCGTAGCATATCCAACCTGAACTGCGGAAGAGGAGACAATGTTGTATAATTACCAGTGGAAAGTGCAAGCCAGCCACCGATTTCAAGTGTAAATATATATATTTTCAGTGTTTTGGATTGGAGCTAATTGTCTGCTTCATCCTGTCCTCCGTACCTGCCAAAAGTCAGTAGTCATTTGCATGTATTTTTGTTTAAAGCCAACTAGATGAAACAGGACAAAATTAGTTTCAAACTTTGGTCAGTGGTCTGCTAAAACCTGGCTGGTGCTGCTCACAAGGGGACCATTGCCATTGACTTTCAGAGAGCAATCATCCTGGGCTCTTCAGATATATTTCTGTACACACAAGATTCACTTCACAAGTTGTCGCTACTCCTCGCCCCTACACTGAAATTCATGACAGACCTGTCACCCACATACCTGCAGCATGACTAAACCTCCTAAAGAAAATGTGATCTGAGGTTCCTCCAGCATGATTCCATTGAAGCTCAGAGGTGCTTTGAAAAGGAAAACTTAACTACTGTGCATTTGCAAAACCTTTTAGTGCCTGCTCGCTGGGCAGCTTGGGCAAAAGACAATTTGGAAGCTGCCAGAGTCAGCAGAAAATTGTGGAGACAGGCTTTTCTAG